TCTTACCTGAATCATAACCGGTGCAGCCCCGAACACACATTGGAAGGCAGGGCCCGAAGTTGTGGGAGGGGTTTGCAGACCTTAAAAAGGGACTCCCCCCTTCCCTACCTCATCGTAATTGGTCCGACGATCTGCTGCCCCACCCTCCATTCCCTTCAATCTATACTGCTAGTGTAGGCCCACTTTATTTACTGGCCTACAGCATACGTCGGTTTCGGCACACCTCAACCGACTTTTTCATATTAAGGTTATTAACAATCTTACCTGAATCATAACCGGTGTAGCCCCGAACACAAATATATATATATGTATACAGGCATTTCCCGCTTTACGTACTCCCGCCTTTACGAACGCTCCACGGACCCACCGCCATTTCATTTTGATGACATTTTGTGCCGGCGGCGCTCTGTGGATGCAGACCATGGAGCAGAGTTTGTGGCCAGGAGAAGAGAAAGGTGAGTAACAATAGGGATAACCACACACGAGAAGGATTTGGGCATTGTTATAGACAACAAATTAGGCAGCAATATGCAATGTCAATCTGCAGTTGCTAAGGCCAGTAAGATTTTGTCATGTATAAATAGGGGCATAAATTCTCGGGATGAAAATATAATTTTGCCTCTTTATAAATCGCTGGTAAGACCACACCTTGAATATGCTGTGCAATTTTGGGCGCCTGTTCTAAAGAAGGATATCATGGCACTGGAGAGGGTCCAGAGACGAGCTACAAAATTGATAAAAGGAATGGAGCATTTTAGTTATGAAGAAAGGTTACAAAAATTAAATCTGTTTCGTTTGGAAAAACGGCGCCTGAGAGGGGATATGATAACTTTATACAAATATATTCGGGGCCAGTACAAACCTTTATCTGGAAATCTATTCATAAACAGGGTTATACATAGGACACGAGGTCACACATTTAGGCTGGAAGAAAGGAGATTTCATCTAAGGCAAAGAAAAGGTTTTTTTTACAGTAAGAACAATAAGGATATGGAATTCTCTGCCTGAAGAGGTGGTTTTGTCAGAGTCCATACAGATGTTTAAATTGAAATTGGATAAATACTTACAAAAACATAACATACAGGGATATAATTTCTAATTAGTGGGGTAATAGCTGATTGATCCAAGGAGACATCTGACTGCTATTTTGGGGTCAAGAAGGAATTTTTTCCTAGTTTGTGGCAAAATTGGAAGTGCTTCAGACCAGGTTTTTTGCCTTCTTTTGGATCAACAGCAACAACATTTCTGAGGAAGGCTGAACTTGATGGACGCAAGTCTCTTTTCAGCTATGTAACTATGTAACTATGTAACAATGATGGTGATCGGTAGGAGGGGAGTGCTGAGCTGAGCTGCTCCCCTCCTGCCGCTGTTGTAGTGTGGCTGAGCAGACTGCAGTCTGCCAGGAAGTGCTTACTGAGAGAGCACTTCCTGGCAGACCGGGTAATGTATCATGGTGATCAGGTACAGGACGGGAGGGGAGAGAGACACCTGAAAGGAGTGGATGGAGGAGAGGCACATGGACAAGTACAGAAGGGGTGGGGGGAGAGGCATATTGGCAGGTATAGGAAGGAAGGGGGGAGAGACAAATGGGCAGGTACAGAAGGGAAGGGGAGAACTCATTGGCGGGTATAGGAAGGGGGGAAGAGACAAATGGGCAGGTACAGGAGAGAAGGGGGAGAGACACATTGACAGGTACAATAGGGGAGGGATAGACACATGGACAGGGAGGGAAGGGGGGGAATGGGACACCTGGATTGGGCTAGGAAGGGAAATGGGACACATGGATGGGGCTGGGAGGGGGGAATGGGACACATGGAGAGGCTTGGGGGGGCTTGGGAGGGGCCAATGAGACACTGAGAGGGGGTAGCAGACACCTGTAAGGGATTGGAGGGGGTAATAAGACACTGGGATGGGGTAATAAAACACTAAGAGGGGAAATGAGCCACTGGGAGTGGGTAATGAGACACTGGGAGGGGGAATGAGACACCTGGAAAGGCTGGGAGGGGTTAATGAGACACCTGGAGGGGCTGGGGGGGTGAATGAGACACATGGAGCGTCTTAAATGAACCAGAAACAAGTGCAGTGCTACATTCAACAAGTGCAACATGTGGTTGAGGAGGAAGAAAACTGATGAATATTTCAATATGGTATGTCTTCTTTTAATGTTCTTACAACATATATGTATTTGATATGCTTTCATCTTGTATTTGTACTTCATAATTAAGGTTTTCAATGGAAATATGTGTTGGTCAGGAACTGAACCCATGTTTATTACATTGCGGTCTATAGGAAATTGGTTCTCACTTTATGAACTCTCACTTTATGAACTAGGCTTCGGAACCAATTAGTTTGTAAAGTCGGGAACTACCTGTATATATTTCCTGGCCATATCCATGGCAGCACATCAATGGGTAGTTCCTCCCTATCCCTAATATCCGTAATTAGATAGGAAACTAATTAAAACTGAAGGTATATGTAACCCCACCTACCCCTTCCACCCTCAGTCTTTTTGTTCCTGTCCTATCCCTAGGACAGACTTAGTCATTCTAAGACTAGTGAATTTTTTTTTTTGGCTTACCTGAGGGTTGTTTCCTCCTGCCTCAAGGGAGTTCAGCCTTTCTTCCTTGGGAAGTCTTTAGTACACGGCCCTGTGCAAAGGTGACCCCCTGAAGATACCCATTTAGTGACCGGGGTTTTTACTTGCTGTGACCCTAGGGGTAGTAAGATCATGCCATCACCATAATTCCTGCAGTGACCAAGGTGTAGCAGGCTGGACATGCACATACAGAGCACATGGATTGCAAGGATAATTATGACATTAATTAACATTCCATCGCTGAAAGAGTTAATGTGAGACTGCTG